AAAAGCCAAACAAGGAAGGAAGCACTGCTGAATTCAACAATGGGAAATATTAACTAAAATGGTTAAGTGGTAAGTATAGGGGAGTGTCTAGGAAGTAACGAAAATATAATAAAAAACTTTCAAGGTAAATATTGAACAGGATCATAAATAAGATAAGGACTGTAATATGATCTTCTGTGTATAGTAGTCAAGTAGCAGACATGACATTTCAAGAATGAGTGGCCAATTAACTGCATGTCAACGGTATAAGAGAGATTACACTGTACTCAAAGATGATCTGGAAAAATACCTAGAATCTGAAAGTCATAAACAACACAGTCTCTATGGATTCCAAAGGGAAGATCATGCCTGAACCAGCCTTATTAAAAATTCTGAAGAACAGCAAAGGTAGGCAAGAATAAATATTTAATTTAATTTGCATTTTAATGGCCTTATTAACCCATTGAACTACTTGGAGCGATTTTCAAGTTTGCGCCCCTCGATCTCTAGGTTTAACTGCACCATTTAAACATCTTCCCAGGGAGTATGTTGCCTCCTTAGTCTTCATTACAAAAACATACTAACACACCCCTACCTACATTGTAGTTTGTGTGCCAACTGCATACCTATTCTGCAAGTTTTATTAATTAATGTCTTCTTGTATTGTCACCATCCTCCAGTATTAACTATATCCAACAATTTAGTGTCACATTCAATTTGGTACCACTGATTCACAGGTTCACAGACATGAACACAGAGACACTAGCAATACACCTTGTGGAACATCGCTTCCCACATTTTTGAGTAAGTAGTTTTAAGTCATGTCTCATGATGGGTGTTTTGTGATCAGCTTGCTTTCATACTGCCTCTTTTCCCTTAACTCCACTTGTCTTAAAGTTATAAGTCTACCACACAAGCTAAGCAATATCTTCACATCATCTACTGCTGACTCCAAAACGCACAGTGAATGGAGTTTAGTAGTGACAATCATTGACCATGAGACACGTACATTAACATTTAAGTAGAATTCTTTTTATTTTTTTTTTCAGGGGATGAGAGTGTCAATGGGAAGACCAACATTTGCTGTCCGTCCCTAATTATCATCGAGACATTAGTGGTGATAACCTTGCTCACCAAGTCATTTTAGAGGGTAGCTAAGAGTTATCCACATTGCTGTAGTTCTGGAATCGGATGTAGGCCAGACCAGCTAAAGGTGGCAGATTTCCTTCCCTAAAAGACAGTAGTGTACCACAAGGGTTTTCATAACAAATCGATAATAGTCTCACAGTCACTGTTACTAGGATGAATTGCAAGTCTGAAAATGAAAAGCTTTTAGCACTTTTGTAATGCTGTATCATTTTCATTACCATTTAGAAAAATCATATTGATTTTGCCCTGCACAATTGAAGCATATAATAAATAATCTACGGATTTATGACATTGTTGAATAGCTTGCAGTTATCATGTTGATGCTGAGACAGTGACACATTCTCGTGACAAGAGTGGATGCTTGGAGTTGTGACTTTTTGATATTGCAAATTCTGATATTCCAGTTAACTATTCAATTTAATTACTGAAGTTAAAATAACGATGTATGTCAAGAGTTAAAGAGACGATAGTGAATGAAAGTCTAAGTATGACCCTCACGTTAAATAGTGCAAGGTTATGAGAATCAAAATAGCACAATTAATTTGGAGGTTGACTTTAAATTATGTCATGTCTTGTTCAAATTTGAGATCAGAATAATAGAAATCTGAGTACATTATAAGACCAAGCTGTAATGATGAATTCTGAAACCCTAAACTACAAAGTACAGAATCCAAGCTGTACAGAAATGACACCAGAATTCTACAAAAGGACTGAACCAGCAACCTGCTGTGAAATAAAATGGAGGTGTGAAAACCAGCAACTGTTACCACTTTTAGTAGTCAATCTTGTCTTAATTATATATTTACATTTGAATGAGGACAGGAAAAGAACTATTTCTGAGAATCATTTAAACTACTCCTAATTTGTGCACACATAGGTGATCAAACCACAAATTTGAGTTAAATAAAAAAAGACTGTGGGTGCTGGATTGAGTTTCGGTTTCTAGAAGAGCCCATTCTTGTGGGAGCCTAGAGAGCAGATGTTTGCAGGAAACAACGACAGAAAACTACAGTACCGTCTGATCCTGTTCTCTCTGGATATCCATACAAATGGGCTTCCTAGCAAGGGCCAAAGGACTGATTAACTCTCTTTAGCACAGAGAAAATGAGGTTAATCTTGATTGCTGTCTTGCTAATATTAGGTAAACTGGCACAAACTGTGGATTGATATGGGAACCTTGTGTAATACAAAACACAGGCTGGTGCATCCTGCCAAGGCATCAGACAGCATATTCACACTTTTATTCAGTAAACCATCACTGGAATGGGATAGTTTATAACAAAAGGTAACAAGTTATTTGGAAAACAATCCAGTTCAGGTACCCTCCTCACATGCACTATCCTCCAATCAGACAGGCCCTACCCATCCCCAGTGTTGCAAAGGATGGGTCTAGCCTCGTTGCCACAGAACACCCCACGTAGTTGGACAATTCCATATCACCTGTCCTTAATGGAGAAATTTGCAAAGAGAAACACCTTTGACCACAAGTCCTTCAGGAAGTAGTCAGCACATAGCGTCCTAGAGATCCTGCAGGGAAAGGAGAGGGTAGATCCTGTCAGGTTGTTCTTGAGCAGACTGTCAAAGTCATTAGGCAGAATGCCTCATCGCCAGAACTTTCCAACAAGCACCAAGACATCACTTGGCTGGTGGTGAGAAGGGCACTACCTGTATGCCCAAAAAAGATGCAGTGGTTTTTGTCAAGGTTGGTCCCGAGCAGCTCCACGATGCAGGATTCTGTGCTATAGGATGCACACCAAGACAAACATTGACTGCTGTGACTGGAGGATCATAAACTCAGTGAAAGACGCTCTTTGGTCTGCCCAAAACTTGTTGGTCTTCCAGAGCAAGGAGTTGACTTTGCCTGAGTGTTGCTGATTGGCACATTTTAAGGTCCTGGACTACGTGCTGAAGGACACACTAAAGCCTGGGACAGCTGCCGCCAAGGCACAGTGGGGATAGACCACCGTCTAAAATCTTTCTGCGGAGGTTAAATTGAGGTCCATTCAGTTATCGGATCCTCCCAATGCCTCAAATATATATATATAAATATCATCTTGTACAAGTACGAAATGCCTGTAGTTTGTTTGTTGGATAGAGTCAAACTCCAGTGTTTGTTTCTTCATACGCTACTGCACAGAAGCAAACTGCTTCAGTGACTATGTATGCATATAAAGGTATTTTTTAAGAATAAATTATATTTGGGATTTTTTTAACTCATAATCAGTTAGTTCCCAGAGTGTTCCCACTGAAACCACTAAGATGGACACTTATGAAATTGATGCAATTCTCTATGGATTTACTTGCCTTCCCTGTGGAGATAAAAACTTGTAGGATTTTCACTTCTATACTCCAGCAACACTGCACTGGCTAAGGACAGCTATTCATGATACTGTCAGATCAGGTCAGTAAGTCACCATTTACCAGCATAATAATTTATGTTGTGTCAGTCCTTTCATACTCACAAAAAAACTCGCACTTTTCATCCCTTCCAGATGGCAAGTTATAGTCTTTCTGACATATACTGTGCAAACATGGTATATTTATCAAATAACTATAATGACAACATCTGATAAATGTAAACATTTAAAAGGTCATATGAAATTTGCAGGATAAACAGAATCCTTACATTCAGTTCTGAGCATCACACTTTAGAAGATGATGTAAAGGCATTAGGGAAGATATAGAAAAAAATACAAAAATTATTCCAAGGATGAAGAAACTCAGTTATGTAGCTAGACTGGAGAAGCTACGCCCATTCTGAGGAGAAGAGATTTGTTAAAATTAAGGAAGGAAGAATCAAAAATCAGGGGACACCAATTTAAAGGGGATTTGTAAAAGCAGCAACGACAGGTAGAATTTGAAATTCTCAGCCCGAGAGCTTGGTGGAGACTGATTCAATCCAGACCTTCAAAAAAGAGAATTGAAAAATTATCTAAGGAAAAAATAAGACAGTAGCAACTAAGTGGGATGCTCTTGCAAACAGCCATACGAACATGACAGGCCTGATAACCTCGTTCTGTGCCGTTAGCAGAACCATTCTATTTTTGCACAAGTACAATGAGAACACTAAACATGACGCAGTTGAAATTTTAAAAAAATCAGATACAGTTTCATACAAGAGAATGAATTATAAAACTGCAATGACAAAAAAACACCACAAGTACACAGTTGCTTTTAAAAAAACCTAAAGGCTCTTCATTCAAAAGGATGGGAGCATGCATTTTGCTGTAATCAATATACAAGATTGCATTTTGCCTTCCATTTAAGAATGGGGTTCATTAATGAATACCACTTTATGGGATAAAATCTGACATGTCTGGTCACTGGTGATTAAACGTCACATTATGAGGCAAATATGGAAACAAAATAGATGTTGATCTTCAACATTTAAGTCAACACGCAAGAATTCATATTACTTACCTGCACAAAAGAATATAGTGACCAAGAGAAAAAGATGAAGTTTTGGTACTTTAGCTTGAACCCAAGATAGCCTGGAAATAGAAAATGCCAGAAATGCACTTGAAAGAGAAGGATGGGTTAATGTTTCTGGCATACTCCTTGATTGGGGCATGGCTGAAACATCAAACACTGTTGGATCATAAATCTGCTCTGCATTTCCAGCATTTGTGGTTTTAATTTTTAAAATTACACTGAAGTTAGTGCAAGACCATACTGGACACTTAAAATCCATTTTTGGTCCCAAAAGTACGGCCAATAATATTCAAATTCAGCAATATTTCTGGGATTGGTTGGACTGTCATATATAAAAAGAAAAAAAGCCATTACACCAAATTTGAAACTTCTCTCCACTGAGCAACAAAAAAAAACAGATTATTACTAGATGTAGATAGGAAATGTCTTTACTTAACTACCTTTTCTGGATACTTTCTTCGATCTCCTAAATGATTTATCTTGGGCAGTGCTGAGTTTTTTACCGCTTTTTCTTGAGTCAGGATTGTGTACAGGTTTAGTTGCGTGGGTGAAGCACACAGGCAGTCCAGCAGCACACATCAGAATTGCAGTCATGCCTACAGAGGTTCAGTGGTCATCAGCATGCATAGGGGTAATGGTAAAAAAAAAACAAAATAAAGCACACAAAAATAAATTTAAAAAGGAACCAGAGAAAATAAAGGAAAGTCAACAGAACCAAATAAAATCCAAATCACCAAGTGACAAATGAATTCCTTAGGCAAAAAAAAGTGCAATTAGTTTAAACATTGTAGGCTTCACCAGTGATTTGAAAGAGACCGAGTGAACAAAATCCCACAGAATAAGCAATAAGGGCAGCAGGCCTATGCAAATACCATGGCAACAGCAGCATTTTCTGAAACAGTTGGATCAGAGAACATCTCCATTCAGACAATGTTTTACTGCAGCACAGAAAGAACTCTACTATGAAATAACTACATTGTCCATTTAAAGTCCAAAGAAAACATCAATACCTAGAGGTTCTGACACTGGTGCTCAGATAACTGACATCATCTTGTGGTTTGCATTTGTTTTCATGAGTAAGGGTGAACAACATATTCTTTTTGAAAAAGAAATCCACTTCAACTTCAATATTAGGTGCAGGTGCTCTCTACAGCACTGCTCCAAACCATTCCCCTCTCAGATAATCTAATTTCCAACCACTGATATGTCAGAATTGTGGAATTAAAGCAGCATATTCAGCAACTTCCTCTGTAAGCTTTGATTTTTCTTAACTGAATGTAAATTTCTCCAATTGAGAAGGTGGAAATTTCTCTAAATGCTAATGCATGCTAGAGAAGACTTTCTAACTCTTCTGACAAGAGAAATCAAACTGTTGCTATGATCCAACTACTCAAAGTGCAAGATAATTAATGAAGTCAGTGTTCATTGAAGCTCAGCATTTGTACAGTCTCAATCTGAACTCCATTCATAAAAAATATGTTTTGGAGGTGAGATGTAGTAATAACCAACAAAACACCTGGTTGTGATGCAAGCACATCAGGTCAATTTCAAGGAATCAACAAGAAATACAAATTTAAATTTAATCAAATGCCATTTAATTAAATAAAAAAAAAAACGTTTGAAGGTTTAGTAGGAAAAGTGTACAACGATGCACCAATGACTGTCTCTTTCAATGAATTGCAACGCTATGTCTAAGCGTATCACTTTCCATGTTTAGATGGTGTGTAAAGGCATCTAAGAAGCAAATAAGAACGTCAGGGTACACAGTCAGATGACATTCAGGCACGGGAGAAGCTGTAATGATACAGCAACAGATATCAATATAAAGATAATAAATTAGAAGGAAAGATCATAAGTTTGGAACCAAGTGTAATGAGTAGATTTTCCAATCAATATAAATTGATTCTCCATTGGCTCCTTGAAATAAACTTCAAGATTTCAGTGGATGATGCTTATTGACTACAACAGTCAGCAATGGAAACTGGAAGTCTGAATCTTTTGTATGTTTTTGGGTGGCCGCTGTGAAATGTTAGGAATCTACTCTGCTACTGCACTTATGTTAAATAAACATCCAATTTCATTTCCAGATAAAATTATACCCTTGAGTGTAGGCAACACATTAAATGCTCTAATGGTTTACCTCAGATCATTGTTTTTCACTCATTATTTTACAGTTAATTTTACAAAAGTTGAAGAGCAAAGGTAAAATCTTATAGCAAAATGCTTGCGAGCACCATAAGAACAAATCTGCTTCTCCAACCCCTCAATATTTAAGTGTCTCGAAATCTTCCGGCAGGATCTCTCAACAATGATATATAATGGGACCAGCACCTCAGCGAATCAATTCATAACAGTGACCCTATATTGTTGCAGAAAGCTTCTTGAAATGCAAATGTTAAATTGATAACTCGGTCTAATCCTTCCTCTGCTGATGTAAGTCAGCTTTGCCATTTGACATGGACATCTGCTGAACATCCAGTGTTTTCCTGAAACAGCCTCCTTTATAGTCATATATAAGGAGGGCCTTTTTTTTTTTTACATAACCAAGTGACTGTGCTATGAAAGAATAAAATAATGTGGGCCCTGAAATTATATCTCATCATACTGACGAATGAAAATTTAGCACACTTGTTGACTATTTTGACAGACAGTAACATACAATCAGCTGATTAATTCTTCTATTGCTACAGGCAGTATAGATGAACATATTAAGGGTTCATGCGCTGACATTCCTCAGTGTATGTTTAGAGCTTGGCTTTTTCAATAAATCAGTGGATTTACAGCATTCTCAAAAGGAAATATTGGATATCCAACAAACTAAATAGATGGTCCAATCACGAAGAATAGCTAACGAAAATTTTCAGACTTCATTTCAGGCAAGTGTTCAGAAACTGAACTACACCAGCTAAACATGAACTGCGCATGACACCTCTCCCAATTCCCAAAGTCTGCAATCATCAACAAGGTACAAGTAAAGAACGCAAGAATATTTTTCATCTGTCTGGAGTATAGTTCCAGCAACATAAGAAGCTCGACACCATCCAGAACAAATCAGCCTATTTGACTGACCCCTCATTCACTATTTGAGTCTCATGCTCATACTACAACAATACTGCACGGTTTCTTTGACAGAACCTTCTAAATCAGTGACCTGTATTTCCTAGAAAGGATAGCATGTTCTTGGAAACACCCCTTCTTCAAATCTCACACCATCTAGTCTTGGAACTATATCCCTGTTCCTTCATTATCACTGGGGCAAAATCCTCAAACTCCATACTTAACAGCATTATGGGTGTGTCTACATTTCACAGATTGGAGCAGTTCAGGACAATGACTCTCAATCAACTTCTCAAGGACAATCAGGGACGGGCAATATGTGCTGGCCAGTGTCACCCACATCTCATGAATGAATTCAAAGTATTCAGTGGTGATAAAATCTATGAAAAGATATTTTATAGAAGGATTTATAGAAACTGTAGAAAATAGAACACTTACCTTTTTAGTCGTCAATAATACCGATCAACCATTCTGAAAATAAGGTCTAGTAGGGACAAAACGCATTGCAGGGCACCTCCAATAATGCTTTAAAATGCATTCACTCCCACCTTCAAAACAGCAGGCTCCATTGCCTCACTATTATTCATTTCCCATGTTTTTTGCATCTCTACAGTCTTCTCTGAGCAATGTAATGGATGGTATTGTCCTGTGGTGTCAACTGGAAACTAGTTGGCGATCACCTAGATTCTTCCTGCTGGCATATCTGATTATGCTCTTTTCCCCTCTCTACCCTTGTACTTGCTTCACTTTTGACAGTATAGATTCACACTAGGTGCAACTCTTATGGTATCAGAGAAATGGACCACCACTGAGTTACAGGGTCCTGTACTTTCACTTCTTGAAACCCACATTAGTACATAACCCAATGCTATTAAACAGAGTATTAATTTTCTGGATCCCCCCTCCAAAGGTTCACTAAGCCACAGAAAGTGTGATAACAAATCACACAGGCCAACCAGAACCTTATACAATTGAGCATTCATCATATGAATGTTGACAGACTCCTTCATTATACAATCATGACTTGCTCAACATCAGTGTATTTATTTGAGAACTGGCCTGTTCAGTCACATGAAGAGCCACAGCAAAAAGTCACAATCGTGAGAAGACATCTTTGTTGAATTGAGGGACAGCCAACAATGACTTACTTAAAAGGATTAAGAGCTCAAAAGTAATCCTTGTTAACATTTACATTTCCTAATCTTGATTTGCTGAAGGCAACTATATTAGCTCTGTCTCAGAGCTGGTTGAGATCAGCTAGTTCAGCAGAAACTGGGTCATAGGGAAGGGGTCATTCTCACTTGTCTTGTTCGGCAGAATATTAACATGTACTCGAGTAGAACATCAGGTTTCTGCCTCCTGTGTCACATTACTTTTTGGATACAAGTTACAAAAACTGCAAGTATACTGCCCTATAACTCAAAAATCCTTGCAGACAACCCTAACATTGAGCAGACATTACTACTTACAAGATGCAAACATTAATCACAGGTTTACTTTGTATTTTAAAAGGCTCTAGAGCTTCTGGGGTAATTTTACTGATCATCCACATATCATTAATAAGTCAATTGATTACCTGCAAATGCTGGGAATACATTGTTTGGACCGTTCAGCTGTATTGGCAACGTTTGAATGCTGGCAAAAACAAAACAAATGCAGTGCAGGTTATTGGGATTGAACAAGATAAATAATAACCACTTATTATACTAAACACAAGCAGAATAATGGGACTGCTAATATTTGATATTTATCCTATAAAGCATCTGGACATTTTTTTTTGTTATGGACACTATATAAATGCAAGCACTGTCAATAATTTCTGGTTAAATCACTAATTCTGGGCATTCCACAGCTTCACAACACTTAGCATAAACATGTTTTTCCTGCTCTCTTTCTTAATTCCAAACATCATAGTATCAAGTCAGGCTTATGTGCGAGGTCCAATATTGCCCTGGGTTATCAGGGCAAGGAGAGAAACCCTATATGCAATTCATCTGCATTACTGTCTTGACAGTGACAGCAAAGGAAGTGTTATTTTCTATGGAAGAGTTATTTTCAGAAACGTTTAAACAGGAAGCACTGACTGCACAAGAATTGTTAGATAAAAGGATGCAGTGCAAAGTAACAGCTCAAAAGGTCCCAATAAGACAATCTGGAGGAAGAGCTAATTTTAGTAGCTATTTTTCATAAAAATAGATTATAAATGGAAACGTGTGGATTCTTTAGCTTCAATAACTTGCTTCAAGATGTGTAAGTGTCACACTATGATAAGACAAATGTATTTTAAGTATTACGGTACAATGGAAGGGAGAACATTGGTCTGACTTGTGTATTGTATATTTAGAACAAGGTCAGCCTAAAGATCTTCATGTAAAATTGCTAAAGAAATCATTGGACAATAATCAAGATTGGGAACCTTGGGAGATTTTGACCACCCCCTAGCTCAGAGACCAACCCTCCCTTCAAGGAAGGCCAGCCAGCACCATCAAAATCTCTGTTCTGATGATGTCATCATCTTCTGCAGGTGAGCCTTACAAGTATCCACCATTTTCCCCAACTGAGGAATTTCCCTTTGCCTGATTGACAAGGCCTTAGTCATGTCCAGTCCATTTTCCACATTTCTGCCCTCATCCCTTCTCTCCCCTCCCACAAAATGAATCGTGTCTCCCAGTCCTTACTTTCCACTCCACCAGCATCTGCAGCCAAAAGGTTCACAAGCGACCATTTCTGCCAGCTCCAGCGGAATGTCCTCTCCAGACAAATATTCCACTCCACTCCCTTGTCAGCATTTTTCAGGGAACATTCCTTCCCAGACACTCTGATCCATTCCTCATCCACTCCCGACATTCCCACTGCACCTTCCCCTGCAATCCCAGATGATGCAACACCTGTCCATTTACATCCTCTATCCTCATTATCGAAGGCTCCAGGGACACCTTTCAGGTGAAGCAGCAATTTACCCGCGCTTCACTCAATCTACTGTATTCACTGCTCACAACACAGCCTCCTCCACAGTGGGGAGATGAAACACAAACTGGCTTCTATGTGTCACTTCAACACACCACTATATTCCCTGGCCAACATTTCTGCTTTGGGCCTGCTGCAATTGTTCAGAGGTTCGGTGTAAACTTGATGGGCCAAATGGCCTTTTTCTACACTGTAGGGATTCTATTATTAAGGCTCAGTGCAAGGTGGAAGAGCAGCAACTCATTTTCCTCTTAAGGACCCCGCTGCTTTCAGGACTCAATATAGAATTCAATAATTTTAGAGCCTGATCAACTCTATCCATGGGTAGGGGAGAGAACGGGTGAGGGCAGAAGTATGGGAAATGTGTCAGACACAGCTAAGGGCCCTATCAACCTCCTTTATCTACCTAACACCCCAGGCCCTATTAGGCCACGGGCTGCTTTTAGCACAGCCAACCCATTTTCACCAAATTATAGTCCCATTATTAGCTTTTCTCTTTCTCCTGAGCATACAGTTATCCATCTCTTTCATTTCCCAGCTGTTGCTCTCTCTCGCTGGGCTCCACTTCTGCCTATCCTCTCACTCTTTGCTCCCCTCCCTCTGCACTTTAGCATAGATACTGCTTTCTGCTAGCTACCATCAGTTCTGAAGAAAGGCCACTGCACTCGAAACATTAACTCTGCTTGCTCTCCACACATGCTGCCTGACCAGAGATTCTCCAGCAATTTCTGTTTCCATCAACATTTTCCTGTTTTAGTATTACACTCATCAGGTGAACTCCGCATTTTCCAAATAAGCGCTTCAGTAGATCGGGGTGGCAGTTGTGTTATGGTAACTTCATTTGACTAGCAATCCAGAAGCCCAGATCAATGCACTGGGAGCACAGATCATGCCAGTTGGTGGAATTTAAATTCAATTTAAAAATCTGGAATTAAAAGCTGGTATCAGTAATGGTAGCTACCAAATGACTGTAGTAAACCTTTTGGTTCATTAATGCTGTTTAATGAAGAAAATCTTCCACTCTTACCTGACATGGCCTATATGCATCTCTTGTCCCACAGCCATGATGTTGACTCTTGAACGCCCTCAGTGCTGGTCAGCAAGCCATTCAGTTGTATTAAACTGAGGAAGAGTCACTCAACCCAAAACATTAACTCTGATTTCTCTCCACCGATGCTGCCAGACCTGTTCAACTTTTCCAGCAATTTCTCAGTTTTTCGTTCCCATAAACACACCCTTGGCAAAGGCAAATTAAGCAAAACAGATTTCTCTCACTTGCGATCTCCCCCATCCAGGAGAAAGGAAAAACTGAAAGCATGAATCTAGCGGCAGAGAGAGAACTCAAGATTTTTGCAGCAGCAGACAGCACTGTATCTAGCAGCTTCAACTCCCAAAACTCTAACGACTTAAAGCAAAACTAAAATCTTTGATCTGACTGCCTGATTCCAGCCACTCATGTTTTTCCATGGAGCAGACACATGGGAAAATCCAGCCCTGCGGACTTGCAGTCTTAGAGTCATAGATTCATAGAGCTGTATAGCATGGAAAAAGACCCTTCGGTCCAACTTGTCTGTGCTGACCAGATGTCCCAAATAAATCCAGTCCCATTTTCCAGCATTTGGCCCATATCCCTCCAAACCCTTCCAATTCATATGCTCATCCAGATGTCTTTTAAATGTTGTAATTGGACCAGCCTCCACCACTTCCTCTGGCAGCTCACACCATACATGCACCACACTCTGCATGAAAAAGTTGCCCCTTCGGTCCCTTTTAAATCTCTCCCCTCTCACCTTAAACCTCAGCCCTCTAGTTTTGGACTCTCCACCCCAGGAAAAAGACCTTAGCTATGCATCATGCCCCTCAAGATTTTATAAACTTCTATAAGGTCACCCCTCAGCGTCTGACACTCCAGGGATAATAGCCCAAGCCTATTCAGCCTCTCCCGATAGCTCAAACCCTCTAACCCTGGCAACATCCTTGTACATCTTTTCTAAACCCTTTCAAGTTTCACA